GGGTCCTGCATGGTCCTCAGGACACTGTGCCCACAGGAAGACCGAGGTCAGCAGCTTTCAGGATGGACCCTGAGCCTCTCCCCTCCTGCCCCTCCCGCACCCACAGGTCAGCCCAAGTCTGCACCCTCCGTGTCTCTGTTCCCGCCATCCGCTGAGGAGCTCGCCAACAACAAGGCCACACTGGTGTGTCTCATGAGTGACTTCTACCCGGGCAGCGTGACGGTGGCCTGGAAGGCAAATGGCACCCCCGTCACCCAGGGCGTGGAGACCACCAAGCCCTCCAAGCAGAGCAACAACAAGTACGCGGCCAGCAGCTACCTGAGCGTGTCCAGCCAAGACTGGAAGTCTGCCAGCGCCTACAGCTGCCAGGTCACGCACGATGGGAAGACCGTGGAGAAGACAGTGGCCCCCTCAGAGTGCTCCTAGGACCTGAGTCCCCACTTCTGGGGACACTTCTCCCTCAGACCCTCCCTTGCCCCGCTCCCCACTTGTCCCCCTGCGGCTCCTGCCCTGGTCGCTCAGACTGGGCAGGTCGTCATCCCTCCCTGTTTCCAATTCTCCTAAATAAAATCCCAGTCATTTCTCATCTGACATTTCTCATGTGTGTTCTGTGTGGGAGAGGGTCTCTGGGTTGAAGGGTCGGTAATAAAGGGCAGGACAGGAATGACATGACATGGACCTACCTGAGGTCCACTCCACTCACCCACCAGGGTCCTGAATGAGCTTGAGTGCCCATGGGCGCTGGGACCGAAGGCAGGAACTTCTCCTGTGGGACCAGCCCCTGGGACGCAGTCCTGGTCACCTGCAAAGGGGCAAGGGCTGAGTGAGAGGGATCCAGGGGTCCTGAGGAGGGACCAGGGAGAATTGAAGAGGGACCAGGACTGGAAGGTGGGCTACTGATGGAAATATTGGGAAGGAAATCATGAAACCAAGGCTATGGTCCTTGGGAACAGACATTGAACTTCCCTTTCCCATCATGGAACCCAATGGGAGAGCCATTACTAGGTGAAGGTTGACTCCTCGCCTTAAAATCATGAAAAGCTTTCAACAGTGCCTCCCATGGTGCATTTGTCAAATTTTGACTATGCATGTTAAGTCAACAAAGACACTGACAAGTCATACAGCAGAGAAACAGTTTAATATCATATAACCTAACAATTGCCCAATCATGCTCACACCCCTTACCAACTCAGGGAGCCTGGAACTCATGGTGCTTGGGACCTGGGCTGAGGATGAGGCACAAGGAAGCTCAGTTTATGTTCTCATCGTCTTGGGTCAGCCTCGGACTCAAGGTGACCCTAGCTTGGGCTTGGAACCTCCATCATAAAGATCTCAAACCCTGAAATCAGATCAACCTGAGAGTTTTGGGGGTTTGTTTAAGGATGGAGCAGGTGATATCAGGCCTCAGGTGGAGGGGACGTGGGAATTGACCTTGATGGATCAGAAAGGGCAACTTCCTGGGCACAGAAAGGGCATCCATTGACATCCCAGGGAGGGCATATCCACTGGAAATCAGGAGCCGAGTACGGGCAGGTCAGACTATCTCAGATCAGGGGAGTGTGGCCTGTGGGTTACGGCAAGGTCAGGTCTCTCTGGTGACACAGCACCCCCACACCACTCCAACCCTGGAAAGAATCGCAGGGGACACCCCCAAGCTCACCCTAAAGGGCAGGTTGACAAAGATTACAGTCCCAGAGTTCTTGATCAGATGGTTGGGGACATAGGAAGTTGCCAGTAGACACTCTACACAGACCAACCTGTCTTTCCCTGGAAGGGGAGGGGGGGAGAGGGAATACACACTGCCCTCCCCTCATGCTCTCACCCAGCGATTAGGGGTGTTTGCCCATAAGAGAGGTGTGCCACCCGTTCCCATGAAATATCCCGCACAATGACACAGATGTCCGCCAAACTCATCCCACATCCCAGGAGAGCAGAGTGAAGCTGCCTGTCAAACACCTAATTCTTTTGGGAGAATTGCTTCCAAGAATTCTTTCCCTGTCCAATGCACCGTGTCCCCTACCCTGTCACCTGCTGGTCTGAAAGGGGGGACACTGTGTGTGCCCCTTGCAGACCAGACACCCCTGGGGCAGTGGCCCAGGCTTCCTCCAGCACAGCTGCAGGGGGAGGGGTTGGGGGGCTCAAGGGTGGTGCAGGGCCTCCCAGAGAGAGGTTTTTGTATGAGCCTGTGTCACAGTGTTGGGTGTTCGGCGGCGGGACCCAGCTGACCGTCCTAGGTGAGTGTCTCCTTCCCCCTCCTTCCCTGCTCCCCTACAAAATTTGGGCCGTTTTTTGCTATTTTTGCTCTTTTTCTGGTCTTGTCTCAGCCTGTGGCCAAGCTTTCACCCAGGATCCCAGCCCTTGGGGACCTGAGGTCTTCCCATCCCTGTTCTTACTGTCCTACTTGGTCACCTTCAGCCATTCACCTCTGACCTCAGAGGAATGGACAGGATGCCTTGTGCATTTTTCTGTCTGTCTGGGAGGGTCATGCTGGATTCTAGTTGGCTCTGTTCTGTCTTCCCCTGAAGGGCTCCTGTGGGACAAGATTTATATCTGCAAGTCCCTGGTGGCCCCTGTCTTAAGGGGAAGAGAGGAAGAGAAGTACCGAGGGGAAAGCGGGTGGAAATTTTAGAGAGATCCAGTCGCTCAGGGTCAAGGCTAGAGACACCCAGGTCAGAGGTTCAGGGCAGGACTCAGGGACTGTGGACTCATGAACAGGGGCCAGGAATGGTGTTGGGTTAGAGGGGCTCCCGGGGCTGCATGGAGCTGCCATGCAGAGTCCTGACCAGCCTCGCACCAGGGAAGCCTGCAGGAGGAAGGACACAGGGGGGAGGAGAAGGTGCTGGAGGAAGGGTCATGGAAGGACAGGTATGAGGACAAGGTGGTCTTTGGTCTCTGCAGGA